CTAAGCATGTAGGAACATTATTTAGAGCTACACATTAGTTTAAACTGGTGATTTGTGTTTGAAAACAAATAATTAAACTATGAAAAACACATCTAGCCCCCTTAAGTAGCTAAGAAGAGTTCAGGCACACATGAAACTTCTGTAACTTATAAAGTGAAATAAGACAAGTATTTTACTGGGCTAATCACTGATATAAGCCAACTGGTTTCATAGTTACAGTTAAAAAACCTGTGTCACTGAACAAAACAGCTAAATTAATTAGATTCCCTAAGTTGGCATGTGAAAACTCTCTGTAATGAGCTGGTGAGGGAGACAGTGGATTAGGTGAAAATAGTGCCAGTGGATCAAGCGGTGAACGTAACGCTGGGGAGATTGGTGGTCAAGATGAACAATTGTTGGTATCGAAGATAATGTTGATAGGCTAGGTGGTGAAATGAGTGCTGGAGCAGAGACGAAGAAGAGCAAGAGGAAAGCTAAAGAAAATAAAACCAAACAACCACAAAAGAAAGCAAAGCGGTGTACGTACCAGAAGTGTTCGGCATTTTTTTGCCAAGAACCCCCAGTTGATGAGGAAACTGGAAGGTTAAACTGGGCTCAATGTGACAAGTGCGACAAGTGGTACCATTGGGACTGTGTTGGTCTTTTGAGAAGCCCAAACAAAAACTTTTACTGTGGGTGTGACAAGGCAATATTTTCTGAGAGGTATAGGGTCTGTTATAATACATCACTTGCAATTTAGGAAAAAGTAGCGATGTAAAATGAAATAAAAAATAAAATGCCTGTTACCTAACTTTTCAGCACGCCAAGAAAAATGGTCATGAACTTAAATGATGTTCGCCTACGTTCTTCCCTCAAGGTATGAAACCCAATCGGGTCTAATTTCTTGTTCATGTTTATGTTTAGTCATATGTACCATGATTTTTAATATCTTTCTAGATGCGCCTTTCGAACATAGGAAGCAGCAGGCTCGCAAGCAAGTGAGCAGATCTTTTTCAAACTTCACTTACTGGCCGCCCGAACACACACAAACATCTGTATGGTTTAAACGCTACTTTCACACCATTTACAACAAGCCATGGAAATTTGTGTTACTTGATGTTTCCTTAGATTAATTAAAGTATCTGAAAATTTAAAAAAATATCAGGTGGAATGCAATTCCCCCTATACGACTATATCCATCACTGTATAGTAAATTTTGATCTATATTCCAATTTAATCATCTAGCAAGAGAAACTTCTTAAAGAAACTAAAGTGATTTGCAGCGAGCTATGGCCAGAATTCAATTTCTCAGACATTGACGTGTTGTTAGCAGAGGTACAGTATATACACTGGCGGTCAAAAAGAACTGCTCAAATGTTGCTATTATCGTATGTAACAGGAATCGTAACAATCAATCTTTTATTGTACACTAGCGGTCAAAAAGAACTGTTTAGATACAAATTCATACAGAAGAAGCGAATATAGGAGAGAGCTTCATAGGAATTTTGGACAATTCTCTTATTCCAAGCAATATTTCAATAATGTAATGCAACCTGCCGCACTTCCAAGATATAGTCAAACAATGGTTGCAGGAAGAGGGAGTGACAGAAATGGATTGGACTGCACAATCAAAAGGTCTTAACCCTATTGAACATCTGTGGGACAATGTGAAAGCGATAGTGCAAGAAAGGATTTAATTCATAAAGCGTCCATGATTTATGCGTAGCTGTAAAGACTGTCCAAGATTACCACCTTAACAGAAAGCATGCCACGCCGGTGTAAGACCATCATCAATTATAAGGCCGAAGAAGGGTCAACAAAATATTAATATTTCATATAGCTTAGCATGTAATCTAGTCTATATTTACTCTTATATATTGTTAGAGGGACAGTTACGTTCATTTGAGAGCATTTTAACTTGTTTTGAGCAGTTCTTTTTGACCGCCAGTGTATTTATATGAAAATGATGTAAGGTGCATACTCGATATATATATAATTATTCGTTCAAATTTCCCCATCTACATACAGGCAAGCATTTTCTTAATTGAAAAAGAGATGAAATGCAGAAGGAATAAAGCGGAGGAGATTTTTAGCATGAGGAACAACGTAGTTTCCGACGATGAAAGTGACAACTGAAAATACTCATTGACAATTTAACAAATATAGATAACACTGAACCGTTGTCTGTTCAGTTATAGATACACGGTATGACATGATTTGTGATAAGAAACGTGTATCCATGTATCTATAACTGAACAGACAACGGTTCAATGTTATCTATTTGCTTTATGTAATAACATCTAAAAAATTGCAAATTAAGCAGGCAAATAGTTTCCCCAACACTTAAATAGACCTTTTCAGCTTGTATGGAAATTAACCCATTTCAAGTCACATGGTCTGAAATGGTTAAGTTGTATTGGCTATTCCATAGTCACAACGTTTAAAATAGGTTAATTTGCATGCAAGCTGAAATGGTACTTGTCAAAGTAAAAATTTTGGAGATATCACACGTACATAATCTATAACATTGAAGAAGTGCTATTGGCCAGCTTAAGAGAGGCGCAAAAATGTGATTGGCTGACAAAATAAAAGAACTGATTAAATTCGTTAAAATTATCTGTGACGTCTTCTGTGCGTCTGTCTTCATATTGATCAGGGCTCTTGACGATTCGGCCAATGAAATTCCTTAAATTCTTAAAGTTCATTTTAGAGTTGAAACAAAATTTTATAATTTATAAGTCTTTTCATTTTCATAACTATTGTGACACACGGCTTTTTCGAAATGCGCTTTTGTAAATATTTTTAAATTTAGTGAAATATGTTTAATAAAACCAAAGTATATATACCATACAGCGGACGTACGTTATACCGCTGCCAGCCGTGAATATGGTTTCATGGTGCAAACTTACAAAATTTACCAGACAAACACCATATACCATACAGCAGACGTACATTATACGGCTGCCAGTCGTTAATATGGTTTCATGGTGCAAACTTACAAAATTCACAAAACAAACACCATATACCATACAGCAGACGTACGTTATACAGCTGCCAGCCGTGAATATGGTTTCGTGGTGCAAACTTAAAAAATTCACAAGACAAACACCATATACCATACAGCGAACGTACGTTATACGGCTGCTAGCCGTGAATATGGTTTCATGGTGCAAACTTACAAAATTCACTATACAAACACCATATACCATACAGCGGACGTACGTTATACAGCTAACAGCCGTTAATATGGTTTCATGATGCAAACTTACAAAATTCACAAGACAAACACCATATACCATACAGCGAACGTACATTATACGGCTGCCAGCCATGAACATAATTTTATGGTCCAAACTTACAAAATTCACTGTAACATACAGCATATACCATACAGCGGACGTACGTTATACGGCTGCCAGCCATGAATATAGTTTCATGGTGCAAACTTACAAAATTCACCAGACAAACACCATATACCATACAGCGAACGTACGTTATACGGCTGCCAGCCATGAATATAGTTTCATGGTGCAAACTTACAAAATTCACCAGACAAACACCATATACCATACAGCGAACGTACGTTATACAGCTGCCAGCCGTGAATATGGTTTCATGGTGCCTACTTACAAGATTCACAAAACAAACACCATATACCATACAGCGGACGTACGTTATACGGCTAACAGCAGTTAATATGGTTTCATGATGCAAACTTACAAAATTCACAAGACAAACACCATATACCATACAGCGGACGTACGTTATACGGCTGCCAGCTGTGAATATAATTTCATAGTGCAAACTTACAAAATTCACTATAACATACAGCATATACCATACAGCGGACGTACGTTATACGGCTGCCAGCCGTGAATATAATTTCATGGTGAAAACTTACTAAATTCACTATACAAAAAGCATATGCCATACAGCGGACGTACGTTAAATGGCTAACAGCCCTGAATATGGTTTCATGATACAAACTTACAACATTCACTATACATATACCATATACCATACAGCGGACGTACGTTATACAGCTAACAGCCGTTAATATGGTTTCATGATGCAAACTTACAAAATTTACAAGACAAACACCATATACCATACAGCGAATGTACATTATACGGCTGCCAGCCATGAATATAATTTTATCGTCCAAACTTACAAAATTCACTGTAACATACAGCATATACCATACAGCGGACGTACGTTATACGGCTGCCAGCCGTGAATATGGTTTCATGGTGCAAACTTTCAAAATTCACTATAACATACACCATATACCATACAACGGACGTACATTATACGGCTGCCAGCCGTGAATATGGTTTCATGGTGCAAACTTACAAAATTCACAAGACAAACACCATATACCATACAGCGGACGTACGTTATACAGCTGCCAGCTGTGAATATGGTTTCATGGTGCAAACTTACAAAATTCACAAAACAAACACTATATACCATACAGCGGACGGACGTTATACGGCTGCCAGCCGTGAATATCGTTTCATGGTGCAAACTTAATAAATTCACAAGACAAACACCATATACCATACAGCGGACGTACGTTATACGGCTGCCAGCCGTGAATATGGTTTCATGTGCAAACTTACAAAATTCACTATACAAACACCATATACCATACAGCGGACGTTTCCATTATGACCATAACAGTGGAATACAGGTATAGCGAACTGGAAAGCATCTAAAAGCTCTTTTTCATCTTGGTTCTTCAAAAAATAAGACATCAATGAGGTCTTTCTTTACATGCATGCATGCAGTCAGAATTGGACATGTATCAAAATTGATGCAAATCTCGAAAATATATTTAACACTGAAGCACTTACATGCAAATGTTTCGTTAAGGTACATTCAATATCGTACAAAACGGTGATCTTTAAGGAAGGTTTATCCGCGGCCACCTTTTCCAGCTCTGTAAGTATCCACACCGCATACGATAATCTAACGATATTAAGAAAAAAAAATAAAAAATAAAATCAGTTTCAGGGGTTTATACTCAGCAACAAATTTGTCAACTTTTTTTTTTATCATAAAACATCACTTCACCCAAATTTGGAATTCCACAACTTTTCCCGGCATTCTTTCTTCGGCCAATAAACAAGGCATCAAGGGAGTAAAAAACAGCTCCATTAGACTGAAATTAATAATTGCCAATACCAATACTTATTATTGCATGTTGGTTTGAGTGCATATGTTTTCACTATTTCACTAATTTTTCACTACAAATCAATTACCTTGGGACATGCAGGACACACGTTGCCTTCGTCAAGCTCTGGGATAACAGAGCGTAAAGTGTCCAGCCTATATTTATACAATCTTTAGGAACAGGAGAAAAACTTATAATAATAATGATTTTCACTAAGTCTTATTAGCCACATGCTGTCAAACTTCACTCTTAACAACGCAACTAAGCAAATTTATCTTCTTTTTTATACCTGAATTCTTCAAATGCATAAATTATGACAGGATAGAGCTTTGAAGAAGATGTTGTAGAGTTATCATAGTTGCCTTTCTTGATTCCAATGCTAGGCGAATACTCTTTAATGAAGCATGACATTCTAATTGGATACTATGAATTATTTCCAAGAGCTCTATCTCAAATGCTATTCTTGGCCTTGTTGGCGTTCCTCCCCAGAATCCAAACTGCAACAGCTGGACAAACTCAGGAAGACAACTGCAAAACTGCACTCTACAATCGCTAAGAATGCCTATGGATTTATAAATAACAAGGATTTATAAAATACTTCACAACATTTATTGACGTATATATGTCAAGAACATATATACATACAAGTACCTTTTGAGTTTGCAACAGTTATGGTTCTTGAATGACGAAGTGTGCTACAACGGCATCTAAAGGAATACTGCCTTGGGAGTTTAAATGGCCAAAAAACATCCTCCTAAAATTAAAGAAATTAAATAAAAATAGATTACAACTTTCATTTTACAGCTATGTCATTAAATGATAGGTATTGAGTAAAGTGAGAAACTATATAAATAAAGGTACACGTGCAATTTCACAACCCAGATGTACCTTTTGCTCATAATTACATTGTTACAGTTTGTACCTTTCCACATGATGTAGCAAATTTACATTTGTGTGCAATGTTAGTACACATTGTTCACAAAATGTCCCTTGGTGAGTGCAATCCAGACATCTATATGGTGTGTCTTTTCTCCACACACAACACAAGAGCTTGCTACTTGGCCAGTGATCTGAAAAGTTCTAGTAAGCATTTCTTCTCTCATGTCCTCCCAAGCCTTTTGTTTTCTCTGGGCTTTTTGGTAATAAAGAGTTGTGCCATGACTGCCCTCAACTTCACTAACCCCCTCTTTTAATTCTTCATCATCTGCTCCAGAAAACATTTGCTCCTGCATCTCTTGAACATCAACATCACCTTCTTGTGATAGCATTGTGGGCTGAGTAAGATCAATCCTCTCCATTTCTGTGTGACCATCATGATGATGAATGACTACAGGAATGTTAGGCTTGAACTTCTTCTCCTAGACAAACAGAGAGCATTCTTTACACATATGTATATCAGCAATTAAGAATATAACTTAGAAGGTATATGTATATATATATTTAAAATAATTAGACCTACAGTTGTCTACAGTCCTGACTCATAAATCATTCTACAATCCATAATTCATATAAAGTGATTATATAAAACTTACCCCATGTATAATTATTATATATCAATAATACCATCAAGCCAGACGTCCAACAATGTAGCTGTTGCTTAGAATTTTTCTATTTTTGCTTTATAATAGTAAACTCTATCGAATTGACTGATTCATAGCCTATAGAACAGAATTAGAATCTTGTTATTGTAAAAGATGGCTGCGTTTACTCCAGAATTAAACTCATAACAAATAAAAATATTCGCATTTTCCATCTGAATCTCGCAAAATTTTCAAGTTCAATATCTTACCACTTAACTCTTTAAAATTATAAACGTAGTTTCTCGTTTAACTTCAGATTTAGGTAAAGAATTTCTGTAGAAACTATAATTGGAAGGACTCAGCGTACAAACAGACGTACGTTACACGGCTGTCAGCCCGTCAGTTTAGGGTGTTTTTTACTGGCTAATAGCCGTATGGAAAGAGACGAAACGGGTGCAAGTATATGCTATATCAGCAGTTATAAGAGCCGAATGTATGAGATACTTCATGAAAGATATGTATTATGACTCTCATTATCATTATCAATGCTGTAATTGCATGGCAGTAGTAAATGCTTTAAAAGTTGGTATCATATATGATACCAGGGGTGCTATAGGGTTAAACCACTATAGCGAAGACACCACATGCAAGGATAGACTGGAGAAACTGCTAGATGTGGATTTTAGCACCTTTTACATGCCTGTTTTCTTCCAGTATAATACCTGTTGGACAGATGGCTATAACTTTTGTAAAGTAAAATGCTACTACCAAAATCCGCCACCCCCCAATTATCGTTCTAGTGACGGTCCTGCTTATGACTAGCATGGATTTGTTTAATGACTTGCATGGTCTGTGTCTTCAAGTATGCATCTTCTTGCAAGCATCACTTACTTATAGTACAAACCACATGTGTCAAATGTGTTATTCTTGGAATTGTGAACTCAGAAATTAGACAAATCCATAATTTCAGAACAGGATTAGAAGTTATAAGCCTGATGAATAATATACTTTATATGTGGGAGGTTTCGGATTTCAATCTCACCAATGTTAGCTCGATCATGCCTGCGACAAGCACTGTATTTATTATCATTTTGACTTTAAAAACAGTTTCAAGTTAATAAAACTTAAATATGTATGGGATACCATACAGCATGTTCAGGTTTTCATAATAATTTTTGTGAAAAAATGTGTGATTAATTGGCAACTGATTAGTAGCAACCAAAGTTTCCACTTTCCAGTGTTTTCGCTGCCAAAGTTCCCACTTTCCAGTGTTTCCGCTAAATGTCAATTTGGCCTTTTGTTATGGGCTATGAATGGCATCTAATTTTGCATCTTGGAAAGTAAAATTGTGGCCAAGCTTACAACGCATCACATATTGCCTTCAACGGGTGCATAATGGTGTAAAAGAACAGTATGTCTGGAGAATCCAATGGTGGTCGGAAAAGAGACCGTGGTCGCACTGATTATTTTTCTGGCTATCAAAAATGCAAAAAAACAACAACAAGAAAAGCAAGAGAAGAAGGGACAAGCGCAAATGTGCTGTCTTGATCAGTTTCACTTGACAACCTCTAGCACTGGTTGTGGTGATGCCATCTTGCAATCCAGTTCCACTACCAATGTCTCTATTTCTAACGATCATTCCAACACGATTAATGAAAATGCTTTCTGCAACTGCTGATGAAGATGCTAGCGAAACCGGTACTGAGCATGTTAGGGATGATATTTCTGAAAGCAATGCATTGAAAAATGTTCAACAACCTGAGCTAGCATCCAACTCGTGCAAATTCACAAACAATCTTGGTGCTTGGCCTAATAAAATACCTAGTGGTATGCATGACTTCTGGATTGCACATGGAAGCGATGACTGTCAACATATTGACAATTTAGGTAAATTTACTGAATCAGCCAAATAATGTGTAAATAAGCAGATTTATTGTTACTGTCAGCTTCCATATTTCACCACACAAGCGAGAAAATTTATCACAAATGGCTGTGTTACTTGAGAGGTGACTGGTTGGATATACTGTTTTGCATGGAAAGTAATGTCTACAAATTTCAGTTCCCAGTTTGTTATCGGTTATAATGGCTGGAAACATGCAGGCGAGCAGATCTCTAACACTGGCTATGATTGCACAAACAAACAAAAGCGGAGAGGCGGCACTGTTGATTAAGCATTGATGAAGCAATTCCAGAATGAAGTGTCATATGGCTGAGAGCTACTGAAGGAACTGATCAGCGTCATCAAGTTTTTATGGAAATGTCGGCAAACAATGGCAATTACTTGGGAATTGTTGAGATTTTGGCCAAATATGACTCCTTTCTGGCCCAGCATATCCAAAAGCATGGAAACCAAGGCAAAGGACACACTTCCTATTTGTCATTGTCAATTTGCGAAGAGATTATTTTTTCTCATGGGCAAAGAAGTTTTTTCCACCATTGTAGAAGAAAGTCAAGTAATTGATTAACTATTTCGTATCTGTTGATTCCACCCCAGATGTAATGTACGTTCATCAACTCACAGTAACAATCCGATATGTTAAATCCACTGGTCCTGTCGAGCAATTCCTGACATTTCTACCCATGCATGGTTGGTCATACTGGAGCCTAAATTGCCGATTATTTGCTGAAGTTTCTGGCTGAGCAGGGTATTGCAATAATAAGATGTCATGGACAGTCGTATTAACAATGCGTTGAACTTGAGCGGAAAGTACAAAGGAGTGCAAGCTGTTGTTCGAACAAGTTCACCATATGCGGCGTATGTTCCTTGTTCTACCCACTCGCTCAATCTGGTGAGAAAACATGCAGCAGAGGCCTGTTCAGATGCCAGTGAAATGTTTAACCTGATCCAGAATCTCTACAATTTTTTTTGGGACTACTCATCGCTGGGCAATTCTGAAGAAGAATCTTGAGGGACTGCCTGTCGATAAATCTTTGTCTGAGACACACTGGTCAGCACGAGGTGATGTGGTGAAAGCACTGAAAAATGGCTATGACCAGAACAAGAATGCCCTAAAAGAAATTGTTGCTTACCTAGACCAATTGGTGGAAACAAGAAACAAAGCATCTGGCCTACTGAAACATCTTGAAAAGCTTGAAACTGCAATTTTACTCGAATTGTGGAATGACATCTTACAACGGTCTCAGAAAACAAGTTGTTCTCTTCAGAAAGTCGGTTCACCATTGAGCTCTGCTGCGAATTTGTTAGATTTGCTTTTGATGTTTGTGGAGCAACTTCAAGAGGACTTTGATGATTATGAGAAGAGAGGTGCAGAAAAGTGTGGCCATAGCATAATGCAAATGCTTCAAGACGTACTTGCCAACGAAATCAACAAATCTTTCTGTATACAAGTCTTGCAGGCTGGTGTAAAATTTCGTGTGCAAGTGTTTTATACCATTACCGATCATACCTGTGCTGCTCTGAAACAAAGAATCAATGCCACTAACCCCCCAATTTTTTTTTTACTAAATAAGTAACTATTATTTATGGAGTAAAAAAACGGGAAAATTTTTTCATTCGGTTAAATCCTTGCAATTTTATGGCTTCTCAAAGTTTTAACAAATTTGTTCCACGACCGAGTTTTTGAGAGACTGGTGAGAGAGTAGTGTGACGTCATTTGGTAAACTCGTGTGATAAAGTATCTCAAATAATCTATATTTTACAAAGAAGTTCTTCTTTTGCAACAAAATTTGGCGGTATTTTATTAGTTTTTTTAATGTCTTCGACGGATTCATCTTCCGAACCATCATCGTTCGCATCCGAAAACGATTATTTATCAGAATATGACGAAATGTCAGAGCTAGAAAATTTAGAAACCGATGTATCTGAAGCGCAGTAAATTGGGACATTTGACGAAATAACTGCTTCTGATAGTCTTGTGTTTTCAAGTGATGATGACGCTTATGCTTTGCAGACGACGAGTGGACGAAAGAGTGTGAAGAAAATTTGAGGGCAAACGAGAAAATTAAAGGACGATATGTTGAAGCGTTTGCATGGAACGACAGAGCTTAAGGAATGGTGAGTACTATTAAACATCAATG